ACCAACAAGAAGTGCAACCCTGGACATGAACCAGGATCAAGAGGGTAGTAACCTCAATAAATATTGGTATAGGTCAGGATGTAAATGAATACCAGCTGCTACCCTAAATATTCATTTCGGCAGTGTATAGGTTAGATTTGGGCAGATTCAGATCAGTTGCACCATGCTTGACATAAAAACCGTTAGGCATTCATCTTGGTAGTAATAGTAGTTGGAACTCCTCACACCCCCCTCATATTCTGACTTGAAAATTCTTTTTCATAGAATTCTGAGATTTCCTTCTTCTATTTCCTTTTCACAATACGGTCATACCCATTAGCATTTTTCACTTTCCATATTCTAGTTCCTTTCCTCCTTTACATTGTAGAAGCATCAAAAAACTGAGTTCTTGTCCCATCTCTCATCCATTGATGCACTCTCGATCAAGCTTTGGTCGAAAGTGAAACATCAAAAAGGAATTTGGAGCAAGTTTTTACTACCTTTGTCTACTTCGGCGAAACATAAAACATCTTAGTCCATAATGGTGAAAATTGAATTGTGAGCTATAATGTGTACCAAGATGATTGTACGGGGTGGTGATAGATCCTTTTGGCTTGATAATTAGTTGTCACAAGGGGTGCTTTGGGATGTATATGATGGGTAGCCATCATTTCTAAGCATAAGTATCAAGGAGTTTTATGAAGGGGAAGAATTTTATCTAGCTAATAATTATTGCATAATATAATTAGTGAACTTGCCTTTAACTTCCTAGCAAAATTCTAATATGACTTTTTCCAATGAAAAGGATGTTTTAGTTTGGGAGCACGCTTCATAAGGTGATCTCACTATCAAGTCTGCCTATGAAGCACTTCGTCGCAGACATGAGAAGGAAGTTTTGCTGAAAAATATTTGGCACAAATTGGTGCCTCTACGGATTTCTCTATTTTTGTGGAAGTTGTGCAACCGGCTTCTTTGTTTTCCTGAAGTTCTAAGCAAGGTGATGGCCTTATTTAATTGCTGCGATTTTAAAAAATGAATTTGGAGCCACTTTGCATCTATCTTGGAGATTGATTTGAATGAAAGCTTTTCATGGTCGGGTCTTTTGCGAAGGTGGTGGAGTAAAGGTAGCTTTGTTTCAGCTTGTAATTTCCTAATCAAGCTACTTCCCTCAATTGTGATATGGGATATTTGTAAAGTTAGGAATAAAATACTATTCAAAGGTTCATCTATTACTTCGAATAGTAGTATTCAAGCTTTAACAATTTATGTGCGTGATAAAGATGATGGTAATAATATCAAGGCCCGCGATGAAATGGAGAAGAATTTTCTTGAGCATGCTTTTGGAATTCGGTTGTCTAAAATTTTTCGAAAAAGGTATTATGAAGTTCGATTGATTCCACCAAGGCCTAATTCTTTTATTTTTAATAGTGATGTTTCGTCCTATGACAATGATGTGAGGTATGGATTTGTAATCCGCTGAGAGAGTGGATATTTGGGTGGTGGAGATAGCTTGATGGCAGACACTTATGGCACTGTTTTTGGATTTTGCAAGTGTGAGGTTTTGGAGTTATCTAACGTCACGGTTCAGATGAATAACAAGATGCTTGCAGACATTTTGAATGGATAAGTACGTTTTCCTTGGAAGCACTATTTGCAAATGTCTGGGATGAGCTCTGTTGTACAAAGGAATGGATATTCAATCATTCATATATTCCGGGAAGTAATGCGGTTTATGATAGATTAGCAAAGGAAGTAGTTCTTGGATCTTCGAATTTTTACCTTAGCTTTGCTAATTTACCACATTATGTAATAGGTCTTTTAATTCTAGATGAGTCGTCCTTTCCATATGTACATAGTTGGTTAAGCTATTCCTGAAATGAGTAAGTTTTATGCACTGTCCCTGTAATTTTATTTTTGGTGGCAATAATATCAGGGCATACCCACCAGATACTGCCCTGATTAAAAAAAAAAAAATGCCAGATTTTGTTAGAGAGAAATGCTAGACGATTTGGTAGAACAGAAGTTACTGCACGAATGTGAGTTGAGAAGATTAAAAAGGATATGATATCAAAAGTACAATACAATTTTAGGAACACAAGAAGTGATGATTTTCGATTTTTAACAGAGTTAGGGATTGAACCTTGCTTGGGAAGGCAATGTAATAGGGTTGGAATGAGTTGTAAATTTGGGTGAAGTATTTATATACTTACATTTGATTAAAAAAAAAAAAGAAATGTTCTTCATGACCGTCATATTGTCACTAATTCTCTGATTTATGAGATTGTTTATGAACCCATGGATTCATTATTGTACCGCTTTAAAAGTTTACTAGGTTTTCTCTGCCCATGATTACTCGCGGGCCGTGTTTTTTGCACTTTAATAAATCTAATATAAATTATTGAGTTACTTAAGCATAATTTTTTGAAATAACATAATTTTTAAATTATGGTCTTCTGGGCATGATATTTTACACCTCCCATTATTGTATTATATTTTATTATTTTTATTGAGTATTGACATGTTATGTGAAGAAAATTATGAGTAAAGCTTTTGTAGCGCTTTATCTTATACTCCATATAAAATATTTTCTTATTTTTCTTACTATTTTCTTACAACCTCGATCAATCAGTTTATTATATTTCTCTTTTTTTTACATACATTATATATCTTTTTTTGGGGGAGATAATAGTATTATCACAAAAAACAGATTCAGAGGTTAATTATGTTCAGTTAATCATATTTTATTCACATATTAATTATTTAAATTTTTAAAAATAGGAAAAGATTACGCACATTAACCAAAAAATGTCCAATTTCAAAAGGGGGGAAAAATGGGATTGATTGGAGCTTAAAAGATGAGGCCAAAATCAGAAAATGGGATTTTAAGGGCCCGTTCCTTTTGTCCGAACTTGAAAAGGATCACCTTTTGAGCATATTTTATAGTAAACTTACAAAAATACCCTCGTTTAATTGGTGGGTTCCAACGACAAAAGAGTACTGTAGTTTTTGGTCCCCTTGCTTTTTATATAGTAAGTATTACACCCATCCAAAAAAAATAGTGCACATTGAGTTTTCAACTTTGTACTAAAAGTAGTACAAAACACAAAATTTAATGTGATTTATTTTTGTGGGATGGAGGGAATAGTATATTAGAACAAGTTAAGTGTGGTTTTCCGAAATATTTTTCTTGTTATTTCTAAGGCAAGAAAATTGTGTTGCATAATATTCAAAACGAAAGCATAACTAATTACCTCTATTACCTAATGTAATGAGCTAATCATCTATACTTCAGTGAAAGAGATGAGTTGAGCTTTGCTTTACATAAATTCTTTTCCGTTTCAAAAAAAAATTAATAATAAAATAATTATTTTGGGACGGAGAAAACATGAAGACAAAATGAATAGTTGGTGCTCGTGACTACTTGTGAGGAAAGATGAAAGGGCAATGAGGCATGGTCAAAAGGGAGATGGGGGGACAGCTTAGTAAAGGGCAGGGGACGAATCAGATCAGATCAAAACTCAAAAAATATGAATAAAAAGCACTAAGTTAAGCAAATCTGAATCTGAGATCGATCAAAACTCCCCAACATCTGACCACTCTCCAACAGACCAAAACCACCGACATACTGCCCCACTTCTCATACCTGGGATTTATCATCAGCATTTATCTCCATAAACTTGAAACTACTGGCAGCCACCTTTTGAATCCATCAAATGATCGATTAGAGGGTCGACCAAACATACAGTTTAAAAAAGACGATATGATTTGTTGGTTAGAAATTCAGGGCTAAAATTTACGTTAACAACCAAAAACTTCCCGATAAGTTAAAAGACAAAGTGTTACGATATTTGTATTGACAAATTCGTCTCTATTTTACTTTGTAACGTAAAACTTTGTATCGCTATTTAGGTACATGTTTTGTTGTTAACAAATATTACTCTACAAAATTTCGCATAATTTCTAGTTGCTATTGACTTGCTACCCAAGGAATTGAAAGAGAGAACACATTAAAGAATGTCAACTTGAGTAATGGTCTCTGATGGAAAGTTAATTAGTAAAGGGATGAAAATAAAAACATTCTGGCTGTAAAGTGGAAGGGATCAAAGTACAAATTTAATCACCAGCCGGAATTATTGACACTTGTCAGATCAGTATACATGTGCTCTTTCATGTTCATCGCCTTTTTTTATTCATTGTTTTCAGTGTAAATTTGATAATGATAATAAAGCCTGTAAAATGATATAAGAACATTCTACACTTAATCTGTCTTGCAGTAATTCAGATTAATGACCTTTTTATATTTTCCGCTTTACAGAAACGAAAGAGAATGTTAGCAGTCTATCGATCCCAATAGGCATGTTTGTCTGCTACTCCTTTACTATTCTTAATTTCAGTATAATTTATCATCAATCCCAATAGGCATGTTTGTAAGTTACGCCTTCCTGTCGTCCAAAATGATTCTCCTCTTTACATTTTTAGTTTCAGTATAAATTGTATTTAAAATAAAAATCCAAACAAAAAATCCTTTTGGGACTAGAAAAATACAAAGTTCGCAGTGCATATATGAAATTTATGTTCAGGTTTAGAATTTTATATCAATTTTTTTACGGTAGAAATATTAACAATAAGTTTCTTCATCTTGGGGTGATTGTCTTATTTAGATTTTTATTTTTAATTCAAAATTAAAAGTCTCGAAATGATTGTCCAATTTAGAATCATTTTAAAGATATTATGGGTTCGAGTCAAATGGCTATATAAGATATTAAGGTGTTAGAATAGTCAGATGAAACCGTATTGTTTCATTATTAAGTACTGATTAAAGCAGTTCCATTACCACGTACTAACCGCGTTTTCCTAATGAAACGAGATAGTATCTTTTTTTAAATCAATTGAAGATTGGTTTTCCCGTCATGAAATAAAAGTTTGATTGACCATGATCAGAAGCAATATCGCTTGTTAAGAACTTAATTTAGTGAATAAAAACGGTCACCACAAAATTAAAGACAGTGAAGAGATGTGAAATCGAACACATGAGGACTACTGTTAATTTACTAATTCAAGAAATTACATCTTTTTCTGTCATTTCTGCATATTTCTCAACTTCTGAAATAGCAGAATAGACCACTACGATAGTAGTGCAAGAACTATGACTATGTCGCCTCCTATGCAGTCAATTTGAAGAAATAAGGAAGAAAAAAAATCAATAAATAACTACAAAAGGACAAAGAGATAATGAAGACCCCTAATATTAAGATCTCTTTGTTCTTCCTACCAACTGAATGCGCAAAATGTCATTTGTTCTGAGTTGGATTTGAAGAACTTGGAGGTCTTTTTCTCAGGCCATTCACAACAGCTTTCTCTGGCTCCATTGTTGATCCACCACCCAGCTTGTCTACATTAGCTGATACCGGCGTCTTATTTCGCGAAATGAGCATTCTTCTTGATGTAATCATTCTTCCTTCATCATGGTCTTCTAGAATTTTACTTGATGTTGATGCTGAAGAACACGTTACTAGTTGGCTTGCTGGCAGGATAAGCACCAAAAGCAAAACAATGTAGGAAAGTTTAAGGCTCGTCTTCATGGTTTTAGTTGATCTTCTACTGGAAAAAAAAGTAGATGAAATGAGAGTTTTTGGCTTAATTGTTTGATCTGGAAATGTTGATGTGATTGTGAAGGTTGAGTGTTAAAGTTTGTAAGTGTTTATATACATATGTACCATATGGGTGGACTGTATTTGGAACATGGAGGCATTATTGGAAGTACAATTTGGAAGGGTTGAAAACTTGCAAAAAGCTTGTGATAGGAGCTGACAAAACATGTGTCTTTCTTCATAAAATATTAAGAACTGTTGATTACTTGGAGCAAAATTCTAGATTTAGGTAGAAGAAGTTAATGTTTTTTTAATAATTAATGGAATAAGAGAATACTCCAGTTTTAATAGTTCGCTTTGTTGTACTGTTTTAATTCAGTATTAGGAAGACGAAAAGAGTATATAAAATTGTGGTTTGGAAGTTGGAAGTCAGGATATGACATGTGATTCTGATTTGACCAAGGGATTTGACCAATGTAGCCCACCTTTAGAGATTAAGGAACATGCCTTATCATGTGACTTGTACCAAATGACTACACGTTAATTATCACCTTCTTGCATGAGAGTTCTCTTTGAGTATCTTATGCTTATAGTAGGTTTGGATCTACAAAAAAAAAAAAAAAAGAAAAAAAAAAGAAAAAGAACACAAAGAGACATGTTACTAAACCACCTTCTCTTCTGAAATAAGCACAGCTAAAGTTTGTTGGTTCTGGATCTTTGGTTCAATGTGGTAATCACATGATTTTCACCATAGTTTTCATCTCTTTATGTTTGGAAGTTTCATCACTACCATCTTGGGGTCCTTTTGTTCTTAATTTATTTTTTTGTCCCTCAAGTTACTGCTATTGGCATATTGAGTTGGTCTAATTTTTTGTTTGTCTTTTTGGGCATAAGGTATATATGAAATTAATCCCATCATTCTGAAAGAAGTGACATTCTTGTTACAAAAATACAGGCAATTGCCTCTCTCCAAACCGAAAGTGAGAAGAGAATCTTTTTCAGGTCGATTGCGATTTGTCGCTCTCCAAATTAGTTATATAGAAACATTAATTATGAGCCGAAAAAACATAATTTTTAAAAAAATTTTTTTTGGGCAAGAATGTATAGTTTAATTATACACAAACAAATGGATTAAATAAGCAACGATCAAACGGAATTCTTATCTTTTAAGTCGAAATAAATAGTGCTCTGGCTAATTAATTCTCCAAGAAAGTCAACTCGAAAAAGCGAAAGATTCCAATCTCACCGACTTTTTGATTTTTTGTTCGTCAGTCGATCACCTTAATTAACTAACATGATTTCCATATTAATCAAACAAACCTCAGTCTCCCAATTTACGACTTCAAATTCTTTCTGACATTGAACCGTAAAGATTCTCTGAGCTCATCATTTAGTTTATAGCCTATGATTTGAAAACGGCCGCTTAATTGGAATAGTTTTCAGTTATATGAAGTTATTACATTCACAAGCTCAAGCAATCACCTCGTATGTTCATCGTACGTACTAGGTAGAAAATCCCGTTTTGTAAATACTAGTGTAAGAGTCCGTATCTAGTGCACCTGGGTATATCGTATAATCCCACCAAACACACACACTACACGCGCTCAACATTTTTCACCTTTACATTTAATGCACAAAAAAAATTATTTTCATCCATTTTACTGTTTTCATCCTCACGCACAAACACTCACAATTGCTGGTTATCCATAAATTATCCACAAGTTGTAAACTGGTTATCCAGAAGGGGTAAACTGGTTATCCACAAGTTGTAAACTGGTTATCCACAAGGCGTAAACTGGTTATCTAGAAGGTGTAAACTGATTATCCACAAGTTGTAAACTGGTTATCCAGAAGGCGTAAACTGATTATCTAGAAGGTGTAAACTGGTTATCCACAAGTTGTAAATTGGTTATCCAGAGGTAAAGAAGCAAACGGCATGTTAATTGGGGGCCTTCGCCCCCCATGATAAACTAAATGACTCCCACGGCTACCGGAATCGCAGGTCACCAACCCGCCCCGGCTGCGCCGCCCCGCCGAACACGCCAATGTAGCTAACGTAATCCTTTTTTTGTGTGTGTGTAAGGAAAGTGTGTGTAAGGAGAGTGTGTTATTGCGTTAAGAGGGGACACAAATTAACTAAATGACGGGGCGGCGCACCGCCGGAATTTGCAGGGGCACCGGAAATGGGTGGATAACCAACAAATTGTATGGACATGTAGTTACATAGAAGCACATCTAAAAAAAGTATGGATAAGTAGTTTACACCCTGTGGATAACTAGTATAAAATAGGTGGATAACCACAAACAAAGTTTGGATAACCAGTTTACAACTTGTGGATAACCAGTTTACACCTTGTGGATAACCAGTTTACACTTTGTGGATAACCAGTTTACACCTTCTGGATAACCAGTATAAAATAGGTGGATAACCAGCAATTATAGCATGGACAACCATCACATAATATTGCTGTTAATTAAAGAAGAAAACTGTGTGTGTGAGCTGAATTATCTAGCGGACTCACGCTATTCTAAGAGAGTAAAGTACACGCACAAGAGGATACACAAGTGCCACCAGATGTACCAGATAATTTGCCCTAGTGCAATCTATAATCTCACCCTACTAGCTGTATAATGAATAGTTATAATGAATCATAAAAATACAAAAAAAAGTACACCATTAAATTTATTTATATCAACATAATAAAAAAATTAAATAAATACACATGTACCACACATCAGTCGCGCAAGAATCATTTTCCATTTCACTACCTGTTAATAAAATTTGAAAAATGTCTGGAAATCAGTCATTGTGTCAAGCCCCGAACCTAGGGCCTAGTTGACACGCCACAAGTACAACAAAGAACTATATCTCATGTCATACAAGTAAGGCATCTTACATTTTCTATTTTTTTTAAACTCTAAGATTAATAAATCCAAACTATCATACATTATTTATCAAAAGCAAATTACTAGAGTCTTATGCACTGGACTTAAACTATAACAAAATACAAAAGAACATTTCTTCAATTCGCCTAGTGATCACAAATCTACCATTCTTCCCCATCATACTGCCCATCATCGTAATTGTCATCACTGTCACTCGGACTATCTATTGGGAGGGGGAGAGGGAGGGGTCAGTTATACAAGTTTAAGTACTTATGCAAATTTGAAAACATTTCATGGAAATATGATCAATTCAAAAATATTTCGTAGAACACTTCCATTTCATAAAACAACATTTCACTTCGTAACTTTCTCATTTCAGAAATAACACATTCACGATTTTAGAAACTGAGACATAGCTATATACTTTATCATGATAACCTGTGCACAATTCCGAATATAACCCCTTTGAAATTGGGGATCATTTTAACTTAAGGCTACTCTCGCCTTAGGACTTGGGCTTTCCAGCTTTTTCGTCCCCTTTCACTTTAGTGATCACTACCACAATATCGTACGTGCATATAGTCTCAATTCCAAAACATTTTCAACATAAATCAAAGAAAGCATTTATCACATTCTGTGCATAACAATCAAAACATTTAGTTCACATAAGCACTTAGACAAGCATGTACATCGTGCGAGGGAACGCACCTTGACTTAAGCAACTTCCTTGTCAAGCAATTCAACACCTTTTTCTTCACCTACACCTTGCATATTATTTTCTTAATACTACTTTTACAATACTAATAACTTCCACAAATGTCTTAAGTATAATATTGAAATAATTGTTTTAAAATTTCTTATACTTGTGTACCATAAACCACACTAGAAATCATCCCCAGGAAAGATTGGAGGGGTCACCACAGTTCCACTTAAAATCCAACCTACTTAGACAGGACATCTCTTAGTGAGTTGTTAGTATATAGTTAAAATCTATGTGTAGAATAATACTAGTAAGTTTTCGTTAAAGTAAACTCTAAAAATTTAACTATCATTCACTATTTACGAAAATATACCCATATTTGAAAGACATACAAAATACTACTTTAAAAGAAAGTATGGTATAATAGGAGAATAAATAGTGTTTATTTAAAATATCATATTATTATAAGTAAATATATACTATTATTTGAAAGAGATCACATTACTACTAACAAACAATATATCACTACTTAAGGATATGTACTAATAATTAAGAAAATATATGAAACATTATTTTGAAAAGAGAATAAACTATCAAGAACCACATATATTATCATTTTGAAAAGAAGGTACACTACTACTTGGAAAATATAGCTCATTATTTTGTAATGTTATTATTTTGAAAGAAAACATACTACTTAGAAAATTTAACTCATTATTTGGGAAGACATATTACCACTTACAAAATTAAAGAAGATAAAACAATCTAGTTGCATGGCTAACTATTTAAGAAGTTATACTATTACTACCAAAATATGGATGATACTTGAAACCCTTAATCTAAACATTCCTAGAATATATAACAATAAACATTCAAAGGCTTATATCATAAATAACACAAGGAAATTTAACTCCTAAAATTATAACCCTAATTAAGAAGAGTTTGAAAATTACCTCTTAGAAGACCCTTTGAGACTCTATGATCCCCCAAAACTACCTTGATCTTCCTTAAGAACTATTAGGAAATTTTTGAACTATAGTTAAGATTAGTCCTTCACTAAGAAATGTCCAATACTTAGCAAATTTTTGGTGTACCACAACACAATGGGAGGTCCTTTATTTATAGGAGGAGATTTCACTATTCCTACCTACCCCTTCATTATTTTTTTTTTAATATTTTTCACTATTCCTACCTTTCCTTCATTATTGTTTTATTCCTAACTAACCCTTCCTAACTCTTTCATATTATTTTAAAATTTTTATAGGATGACCTTTACTATTCACATTAATTTAACATTATTTTTACTATTAATGTAAGCTTCTATTGTTATTATAATTATTGTTTCTATTATATTATTTTTTATTAGTGTTAATATTGTTATTGTTATTGTTACTATTATTATTATTATTTCTCCATACGTAAGAAAACTTAGGATATTCTTAATTTAAATTAACTTAGAAAAACCTCATTATTATAAAAATATTGA